GCCCCGGTGGTCGGTACTAGGCCTGGAGACAGGTACTCGGGTCTGTACCGGGAGAGGAACGTCGCCAAGGCCCCCGTAGGCTGGTGCCGGGGCCGGGGAGCTGGGACTAGAGTTGGTGCCGAGGTGGGGAGGGCTTCTCCGTCCTGGCCGTGGGTGCGGAGTGTGACTGAAATGGCGGTGGGGCTCTGGGCTGGGCTCCCGCCCCATCCGGTAACCGGCAGCAGAACTGGGTGCAGCATCCTGGGGTTTGGGGTAGGAGGGCAGGCAGAGCCAGGGTCATCCTCCCATCAGTGGCTGTCCTCTCTCTCCAGGTGAAGGAGAACAACTACCGGGGCCACGGGGACAGCGTGGATCAGCTCTGCTGGCATCCCAGCAACCCTGACCTCTTCGTCACAGCATCCGGGGACAAAACCATCCGCATCTGGGATGTCCGCACCACCAAGTGCATCGCCACTGTCAATACCAAAGGTGGGTACCTGCCTTCCCAGGAGGGCTGTTGGGTCCTGGCAGGACCTCAGCTGTGTGGGACCCGTCTGCAGTGGCACAGTGCTTTGGACCCTTCTTGTGGGCATTGGCAATCGGGGCATCTTTGTTGACTGCTTTTATCTTTGTGTTGCACTCATTTGTAAGGAGCAAGGGCTGATTTACTATGGTGTCAGGACTAGGGAAACTACTGAAATACGATGCTGGCTGTTAAAATGTCCTGTGTACTTGTCTCTGGAGTCTGCAGGCTGCAAGGCTGGAGACTGAGGAAAGGCATGTTTGCGGAGGGCCATAGTGGAAGTAAAGGTTTGCATGGATTCAGAAAACAATTATTTGAATTCATACGCTGGTTAACCCAGATAACCATCTCTGCCCTTGGAAATCTCCAATTTTGAGTTATCGGAGCTGGAAATGGCATTGTAAGGTGGCATAACTGCAACCTGCCTTGTTCTTACCCTCGTTCATAGCATTGTTGGCTTCTGCTTGTTCTGGATCTCAAAGGTCACTGGATTCAGAAGATCTTTCAGTTGATCTTGTTTGGTGGTTGCTGTGATCCCATCTTGGCTGAAATGAGAAGGGCAGTGGTGTAGTCATGTTAGCTTGAAGCTGCAGTTCTGTTAAGTTTGATTTTCAATAACTGTATCTATTTGCTGGACAGCTACTTTATAGGGTTTGTGTGTTAGACTGCAGACCTGGCAGTCTTTCCCATTTGGGAGTGGTTTGGAGTTAGTGGAGCAGATTGTGGCCTTGGATCAGGAATAAAAACTGCCTGTCTGCTTAACTTGTGGCTGCTGTGGATTGTTGAGTGGAAATGTGACCTGCTGCCTTTCTGCCCCTCCAGGGGAGAACATCAACATCTGTTGGAGCCCTGATGGACAGACCATTGCAGTGGGGAACAAGGATGATGTGGTCACCTTCATTGACGCCAAGACGCATCGCTCCAAAGCTGAGGAACAGTTCAAGTTTGAGGTGAATGAGATCTCCTGGAACAACGATAACAACATGTTCTTCCTCACGAATGGGAACGGCTGCATCAACATCCTCAGGTAGATGCCCGTGGTGGTAGGTGGGCAGGGTAGCTGGGCTGGCTGCGACAGACATCAGTCTGCAAGCCCCTTTGCTGCTTTTGGGGAACCAGAGTCCTACACCCCGGTGGTTGCCAACCCTCTGGTGGGAACCGACTTGCTTGCAGCTGAGGTTGCCCTGGTTCTGGGCTGGGCTCCCTGAGAGTGACCTGGGTACTTTGCCTCATTCATGCGGCACTCAATGTTTCCGAGAGTGTGGCCCTGCACCAGTTTGGTTTGCTCACAGTCCCAGTGTGCCTCATGCCTGCCCTGCTTGTAGGCGAGCCCTGTGCTTCTCTCACTGCTTCCTGCCCTCTCCCTTCATCTCCGCAGCTATCCAGAGCTGAAACCCATTCAGTCCATCAACGCCCATCCTTCAAACTGCATCTGCATCAAGTTTGATCCCATGGGGAAGTACTTTGCCACGGGCAGTGCTGATGCGTTAGTCAGCCTCTGGGATGTGGATGAACTGGTGTGTGTGAGGTGCTTCTCACGGTAGGTAGTGCTGTCCCAAAGCTGTTTGCCTCCCCTCTCTGGTGGTGGTGTGGGAGATGGCTCACTGGCTGCTTCTCTTTGTTGCTGCAGGCTTGACTGGCCTGTGCGAACGCTGAGCTTTAGCCATGATGGGAAGATGCTGGCATCAGCATCAGAAGATCACTTCATTGACATTGCAGAGGTGGAGACAGGTAACGGTTTCCTTTTGGGGAACAGCAAGGAGGGAATTGGATGGAGAAGTGCTGGTGGAACTGGGAGGGCACTAGGAGAATCGGTCTGCTAAGGGAAGAGTTTGGCTGTGCAGAGCAGAGCGCCGTGAGGGGGAGCCTCTGCCTCGTTAGTCTGTGGTAGACATGCGTGTCATGTCTGTGCCTTGTCACCAGGTGATTAAAAGGCGGAAGGAGCAGGTGTTTGGCTCCGGTGTGCGCTACCAGGCAGCGTGCAGCGGAGGGCTGGAGGCTCTCCAGGCTGACGTGGCCCCTTTTCCATGCAGGAGAGAAGCTCTGGGAGGTGCAGTGCGAGTCCCCCACCTTCACAGTGGCCTGGCACCCGAAGAGGCCACTGCTGGCCTTTGCCTGTGACGACAAAGATGGCAAATACGACAGCAGCCGGGAGGCAGGCACCGTCAAGCTCTTTGGGCTCCCCAATGACTCCTAATGAAACTGCACAGCGGGAGGCAACGCTTCCCTGCTCTTGGGGATGGAAGAGTCCTTAGTTAGTGTAGGTCAGGGTAAGGAGAAGGCTCCCCTCCTTGACTGCTTGACGGTGCTGCGACCTTTGGCTCAGCTCTGTGTATACTGCTCTTGGGAGCGTTTGTAAAAAAGCAGCTTGTGTGCTGAGGAGGATGTGGGGAGGATACTAGCAGGGCCCCCCTCACCATCTGAGGGCTGCTCTCTCCTCTCTGAGGCGTGGGGAGGCTTGTTCCAAAGGCAAGTGGCCAAAGAAAGTCAAATCACTGAAGATGACTGCTGAGGAGCCTCCTGTGAGAGGAGCTGCACTCTGGCCAGGCTCCCCAGCAGCGATAAGCTACATGACGGTCCCCTTGTCCCCAACGACCTGGTGGTGAGGGCAGGCCTGGGAGCACAGCCTGCCCCTTCCCCTCCCAGACATCCAACATCCCTTCCCTGCACTGGGACAGCGATGAGAGGGTGGGAGGGATGTGAGTTGGGAGATGTTTCCTCAGCTGGGGCTTTTTTTTTTTTTATATATATGCGTGGTTGGTTTTTCTAATTTTGATAAATCCTCTTCCGTAATGAAGGTGCCTGTTGCTGCTGGGGGGGCAGAAGTGGGGTGCTGAACTGTTCTCCTGCGAGCTCCTCTCCCTTCCTTTGCCTCCTTCCCCTTGGCCATGGCAAGGCCCTGGCTGAGGGGTCTGTGTCGAGGGGCTGTCCCCCTTGTCCCCACTGTCTCCTGTCCTGCCCCGTCACCCCACCAGGGGGCGCTGCGCCCCCACGCTGGGGACAAGTGACACGAGGGACACTGCACAGAGGATGGGGACAGCCGCGGGGACCTGTCCCAGCCCTGTAACCCTGCTCCCGCCTGGCAGCACCCTGCATGGATGGAGCAGGGCCGTGGCCCCAGCAGAAGATGCTGCCTGTCCCACGCCATGGCCACCGGCCCCGGGCAGAGCCCTTTCCCGCACCCCTGCCAGGGGTGACGAGTAGTGCCTCCCCCGTCCCCACTCCCCAGGGAGAGCTGTGGGGCTTTTTCCCCCCTCCTGTGCCGGCATCCTGGATCATGGGTCAGGGGAGATGATCACTGCAGAGGAGGTGCAGGCACAGCCTGCCTGTGAGGGAGACCTTGCCTGCAAGATCTCTATCATTTCCTACCCTAATATTTTTTTCTGACAGAAGCTTTTCCAGGTGACTGCTCTTCTGATGCCGCCTGGGTAACAGCTGAGCTCTTTGCTGGTAAATGATGGCAAATGAATTGGAGCTGAGGCTGGCTCTGGACGGAGGCCTCTAGGGCTGTGCCAAGCCTGGGCGCTGCCCGGGGCCCTGGCTCATTGGGGAGCACAAGGTGCCTGCCTGTAGCCTTGTGTCCCTGCTGTTGGGGGGGCAGAAGGCTATAACTCACCACAAACAGCCCTTGTACCCCAGGGGTATCCCCAGTCATTCTGTGAGGGGAGTCTCAGAGTCAGGGGGAAAGGGCAGAAGCCCCCCTGCCATTTCTGTGGGACAGGGGTCCACCAGCTCCCATCCCTTTCACCTTGCGCCTGACCCCACAGAGGGTGCCTGCAGGGTGGACACGGGGGTGTGGGGAGGCAACTAGACTGAGCAGGGCTTTGGGAGCTGCGTGTGGCCTCTCCCTCCACCTGTGGCCTGGCTTGGGTGCTGCCCAGGGTGGGCCCTGTCGCCTTCCCTAGTGTGATGAGCTGCCAGTCCTCAGCCCTGAAGGGGGATGGAGGGCTGAGGGAGCTGGTGCGGGGCTCCAGGGAAGCAACGGCTGAGAAGAGACTGGAACAATGTACAAATCCCTTTATTTTATTAGTTTGTCAAAGACTAGTTCGAGCAGGATGGTCACAGCATGTCTGCAGGGCCCCAAGCCACCTGCCGCCTCCCGGGGAGGGTCCTGGTGAGCA